CTTGATCTTTCCCTTCCCCTCAAGCCACACCTAACATACTTCCTTTTTTCCTGATAAGGTTCCATTTTTGTACCTCCTTGGTATCTAAATAGTTTCCTAGCTTATTACCCTTTCATATCCAATTGGTCATCACCCTAGTTTAGACAACCTTATCTCTTCTTACCTGAGCTAAAGCAAAAGCCATTTCCCTGTTTGTAGTCTCTTCTGTCTATTATTATGGTTGTCAAAATAATCTTCCTAAAGCACGGTTTTGACCTTGCCACTCGGAGGAGTATAATTGCGTTTTGGATAAAATACAAACTCGTGTTCCTGAGTTTAAATCTGGCCCCAGACACTAGCTATGTGACCCTGGGCGAGTCACTTAACTTTGCCTCAGTTTCCTCCTCTGTAGAATAAGCTGGAGAAAGAAATGACGAACCACTACAGTATCTTTGCCAAGAGAACCCCGAAGGGGCCACAGGGAATCGGACACAACTGAAACATGACTAAACAAGAGAAACTGCTCAGTTTGGCATTTAAAGTTCTTCACAATCTGGTTCAGTCTATCTTTCTGAACTCCACAGACTTGACACTCCAGTAAAACTGGCCTGCTGTTCCCCAAACCCAACATCTCATGTTTTACCTCTTCTTTTATACAGGCTGTGCCTTAAGTTTGGCATGTTTTCTTAGCTCAACTTTTGAGAATCCTTAACATCAAGACAGCTCGGTTTTCACCTGAGAGAAGCATTTCTGGGCATGAACACTGCAGTTACTGTTCTCCAACTTCAAATTATTGACCTTCTTGTTGAACAACAATTTAGCTGCTTAAATGTATCCCTCAGTAGAGCCTGAGTTCCCTTGGAGTAGGGATTGCTTTCTCTTTTTATCTTTGTAAATCCAGTGTTTTTCAAAGTCCTTAATGTGGCCAAGAAAGCTGATATGATCAGGCTGTATTAAGAAGCATAGGTTCCAAAATGCAAGGTAATTTGCGAAGGGAGAAAGTGTATTCTGCCCTGTTCAGACTATATATGGAGTATTATGTTTAGTTCTGGGTCCCATATTTTAAGAAAGCTATTGGTTAGCTGGACAGTGATCAGAGGACGGCAAGGAGGTGAATGAAAGACCTCTGTCATACCATATAAAGATCAGTTGAAGGAGCTAGGGATATTTAACTTGATGAAGGGTTAGGAGGGACATGCCAGCTGTCTTCAAGTTTGCCTCTTTGCAAAGAGGCATATTTAGACTTGATTTCTTGGGAGAAATGAACAATTAGAGCTATTCAAGAGCAGGATGGGGAGCCTTGAGAAGTGGGTTCCTCCCTGTTGGAAACATTCAAGCCAAGGCTTTGTGACCACTTTTTAAGTGTGATATAGTTGAGGTCTTTTTTCCACATGTGAGTTGGACTAGAATAGCCTCTGACTTTCCTTCCAATCCTTAGCTTTTGTGACAAAAGGCATACAGGCTGGAATTTTAAGCCCTTCTCAATTGGACTATTTAGTTTTCCATCCAGGTTTTTTCACATTACTCCTCTCTCTCTCTCCCCTCCCCTCGCCCCCCAATTCTATCTTCAACCTTTATGCTTTGGTGCTGTTTCTCATGCTTGAGATGCACATATTCTTCATCTCTGCCTCTCAAAAACCTTATTTTTATTAAAGACAGATGCCACGTCCTGATTGAATACCTCATTGATTTCCATAGTTTTTATCTGTTTTCTACTTAGTCATGTGCCCCCAGTAGAATGCAAGTTCTTTGAAGGCTTTTTTTGGTCTTTGTATCCCCAGCCCTAGCTTTGAACATTGTAGATAAGTTAATACATTTTTATTAAATTGAATTAATATGATTTATGCACAGATGCTATGAAGATATAAGCAAGAGGAGTCAGAACTAATTGGATATGGGAAGAAAGTGAAGGACAGGAGAGTTTAGAACTACTTTCAGTATATAGACCAGGAAGATGGTGGTGCTATCAATAGAAAAAGCAGTAGGGTTGAGGGAGGAGTAAATTAAGGAAGATGAGTTCCATTTGGACTTGTTTGAGATGTTATAGGGACATCTTCTCAATGTCCACTTGGCATTGAGGGACAGGTGATAGATGATACATCCGGGGAAGATTTTGAGAAGGAAGCAGGCAGGGAGGAGTGAGTCAATCAGTAAACATTAAGGGCCTACTATGTGCTACACCTAGAGAAGGAAATGGCAAACCGCTCCATTATCTCTGCCAAGAAAACCCCAAAATGGGGTTATGAAGAGTCAGCTATGGCTGGAAACGACTGAACAAGAAAATGCCATACTCTGTGGAGGGGCCAGTGTCACAGAAAGCAATGGAAGAGAGTGTACTAGAAGAGGATGGTCAATAGCATTGGAAACTTCGGAAGTCAAAGAGGTTAAGGACCCGGCTTAAGGAACACGTCATGAGATTTGGCAGTTGACAGGTCTCTGGCTAACTTGAAAAGTTTCAGGAAAGTGGTAGGCTCAAAAGTCAGATTACAAGGAATAGAAAAGTGAGTGGTGAAGAAATGGAAGGCCAAAAGAAGTAAGGCTTTAGCAGAGAAAGGATATAAGACAGCTTGGGCAAGGTCAATTGAAAGGGTTTTTTTTGGGGAGGGTAGGCAATGGAGTTAAGTGACTTGCCCAGGGACACACGGCTAGTAAGTATCAAGTGTCTGAGGCCGGATTTGAACTCAGGTCCTCCCAACTTCAGGCCCGGTGATCTATCCACTGCACCACCTACCTGCCCCCCAAAGGTTTTTTTTTTTAAATATGCATTACTGTATTTGTAGATAATTCAGCAAGTATTTATTAGATGACAAGCATGGTGCTAAGCACTAGAGATATAAAGAAAGAAAAATCAGCCCCTGGCCTCAGGGAACTTAATATTCTACTGGGAACGAAACCAAATGCCAGGCAGAGATTGAAGAAAAGAGGAAGGAAATGGTTAGTGTGGCAAGATCCTGAAGGAAATGGGATAGAATCAGCCACAAGTAGAGGGGTTGGCCTCTGCCACCTCTTGCTTAAAGCCTGGGGTGAAGAATGCAGCACATGCTTGATAATTATTTTTAATTTTAAGGAGAAGGCTGGTAAAAGACCGAGTATGAGGTGTGGAACAGGAGATTGTGTGAGTTCATATTTTGTTGATAAAGCAGGAGGTTTTATAATCTGTTGAGGGACAGGAATGTGGCACTGAGGGCTTGAAAAGGGAAGCTTGAAGCAGCTGCTTTGCAGAGTTACGACAGTCAATGGTGGAGGGAAAAAAATGCTATGCAAAAGAGAGGGCCCATATGAGTTAAGGTCACATGTATTTGTAATGGACTTAGTCACCTCCTTTGGGTGCCTTTTCCTAAGGCATTCAGCAGCTTAGTAGGTTCCAAGAAAGCAGATGGGAGGGTTGATCCATGTTTGAGGATTGGTGGGTTTGAATGGCAAAATGGGACAAGAGACACAAAAGACTGACAAGTTTTTTTTTTTTAGGCAAACAGTTGGTTAAGTGACTTGCCCAGGGTCACACAGCTAGTAAGTGTCAAGTGTTTGGTCTGAGGCTGGATTTGAACTCAGGTCCTCCTGACTTCAAGGCTGCTGCTCTATCCACTGTGCCACCTAGCTGCCCCTTGTCTTCATTTTTTTAAGAGGACCAATGACATCACAGGGTGACATCTTGACTCATGCATGAATTGGATTTTAAGTGAGGCAGAGTGGCGTAAAGTCATCAGCCTCACTATCTTTTCCAGAGTTATCGAAGTCTGGCGGCAAGGCAAAAGTCAGGATGACTGGTGGTGGCCTGGGATGCAGTGAATAACTTTGGCATCTTTGATGTCTGACTAAGCTCAGAGCATTTCACAGTGTCCTCTTCAGCCGCCTTCGTGGCTGTTGGAACATCTGATTCCTGGGGCGGGGGGGATTCTTCACATTCTTAAGGTAGACACCCCACTGGATTTGTGGCCCTTTGTTTGCCTTCAACCTGGTTTAGCCAACTGCCAAGACAGCTTTACTGCGGAGCAGCCACTGAGCATGCTGCAACTTCTTGGAGCCACAGGTGAGAACTGAGTGCTACATGGACACCAAAGGCGGACGAACGGCCCTGAAAAGGGCTTGGCAAGCCCTCACATGTGAGGAGCTAGTCCTCCTTGAACAACCATACACCCCTTTGCACCAGTATAAATGAAGTAGCTGGTCTTGGAGATGGTGGTCAACATTGCTTCTCTGTTCAGCAGTAGCACCCTTGGGCCCTTGGAGGGGCTAGAAGGCGCCCCACCCTACTAGAGAGTTCATTTTTATCTCATGAGAGCTAGAATGAAGTAGGGGATCCAAGGTACCAACCAAACTGTTCACCCATACCTGCAGCTCAGGTGTCATCACCATAGCTGTCTTCCCCGCCATCAATAAGGATGACAGGAAGTATTGAGTAAGACTAGGCTTCTGGGCTAATATTTAGAGACTGAATGTAGACTACATTCGAAATTGGCATTGCTATTACAAGGATTAATGCCTAACCACAGGAAGACTAAACAAAGTTAGAAGCAAAAGGTAGGGGCAGCTAGGTGACACAGTGAACAGAGCTCTGGCCTTGGAGTCAGGAGGACCTGAGTTCAAATCCAGCCTCAGACACTTACTAGCTGTGTGACCCTGGGCAAGTAAGTCATTTAACCCCGATCGCCTCAGCAAAAAAAAAAATAAAATAAAAGGCAAAAGGTAGACAAATCAAATTATTTGTAGATTATGGAAAACATTTGAATTTCACTCTATGGTAAGCAGAATGGGCCTAGTTCACTGTTGTACCCATGCTTCTGTCACTTCACATGGATCCACATCTTGAAAGCTGCTGGTTGTGTTCAGTCACAAAGAAAGAACCACGTGGGTTGACATAACTTTATTTAGGTACAAATACTTAGACAATGTGTACAGATAGTTTAATTTTATACTATTATTATTAATGCCCCAGATAAAAATATTTCTCTTCAGAAATCAATGTGTAGCTCACATTCTAAGTGGAAAACAGAATGACATGATTTTGAATCATTAAAAAAAATCATTATCAAAGTTTAGTGAAACAGTGGGAGTATTTACACCCACACATATGAGAGAAGCAGGAAAACTTAGTCCTGTCCACTGTGGAAGAGACAGTTCTCTCAGCCAGTGCAAGTGCAGGAGGAATGTGGAGTTTAAGACATGGTTGGTTTATCCCTGAACAAGTAGCTTTTCTCTACAGTTCTTTCGAAGTTTGGTGATGGTGGCCGTGGACAAACTTCCAGGTTCTGTAAATATTTTCTGGAACAGAGAAAATTAGTTAGGAAATGGTTTGCAGGTTCTTAACCCACCAGGATTACTGGGTAGAGGATTTATGGAAACAGAAGATTCAAAGAATATGAGAAGGCTTGGGTGGGTTGATAAATTAATTCCCCTGACAGAAGGAGTACCCACACGCAAGATCACAGATCCATTAACATCTCTATCTATTCTTAACGCTATTCACTAAGTTGAGATGGATAATTACAATTTACTAAGTGGTTCCTATAGACAGGACTTTAACAGCTTCTGGATGAAATGAAAACCCAGGCATAAGACCATGTACGTAATATAGCTCATTTAATTAAGACAAAAGAATCTTTTTTTTTCCTGTTTTCCTAGAGCATTTGTTTCTGTATTTCTCCTTTGCCTCCATTATTCCTTACCTAATATGTAGAATTCCCACTCCCAAATAAAAATTCAGCTTGTGCAGGGCAGAAACTATTCCATTTAAAAAACAATTTTTTATCCCTCGGGCATAGCATATAGTAGGCATTTAGTAAATGTTTACTGAAGGAATTAATGAACTCTTTAGATCTTTTAATGAATTAGTAGTAGTATCAAAAGTATATATACAATTAAATCTTACAAAAAGCACCCTCTTTATTCAAAATATTTTAGTTACAAAATGTTAACATATTGTCATTGACTTGATATGAAATTGTGGGAAGGTGGCAATAAGTTAGGACCTAAAGGAGCATAGATCCACCACAAACACCCACAGGTAAAGCTCAAAAAATGCACCAGAAGGAAGAGAAATAGTTCTAAGTTTCATCATCCTGCCTAGAACCCCACAAAAAGACTGCCAGAGTGTGTATGCAGCCCAAATCCATGACAGCAGATAAGAGACCAGGGCCAGGCCCAGCCTTCACCTTCCATATCTATAGCAAGAGAAAATAACGGGGTAGCAACTGAGAAGCAAAGTACCTGGGGTCTTGTAGGGGGCTTGCTCTCAGGACAATAAGAAACATCTGACTGGGACCCTTCAGGGTCACAGCAAGAGAGAGAGTCAATTCTGGCTTCAGAATGATGCGAAAAGGAGATGGAGAAGGGATTGAAGCCAAAACTTAAGTTAAGCAAGTTGGAACCTGAAGCAAAACACCCAGGGAATTCTTACAGAAGGCTGGTCCCAGTCTTGGGGCTTGTCCATACCATCCAAAAGTAGAGATAGATAAATAAAGCATTTGTTAAGCATGTACTATGTACCAGGCACTATGCTAAGTGCTGGGGATACAGATAGAAGCAAAACAATTCCTTGCCCTCTCATTTTAATTGGAGAGGACAGGATATTAAAGGGAAGCTGAAAAAGGAGAAGGAAGGGATATGTATCATGGAGGGGAGATTGCCAGGAAATGGTATGAAGACGTGGTTCCTAGCAAAATAAGGTCAACATTCAACTATCAGAATCAGGGGACACACAGGCTGAGTACAGGTTTGTGTTATAGGGAAAAGAAACTAATGGCCAGAGAGGACGTTGAGAAAATGGTGGGGGAGCAGAGTATGACATAAGCATAATGCCCCCATCCACAAATGAGACAGAAGATATGAGCAAACAGAAGAAAATGACTCAGCAATTAAGAGGAAGAGAGTAACTCCAATTAAGTCCAAGGAAAGACTCAGAGAAAAGAATGTTCTGGCCACAGAGACTGCTAGAGTATCTGGTAGAAAAGAAGTTAGAGATAAAATGTAACGTTAAATGGAATAACAACTAGGGAAGAAAGAAAGGCAAGTGGAATTAATAGGTTAGAACAGAAGGTGGTAATCTTTACCCAAGAATTGGTCTCCCTGAAAACTAGAATGACCCAGAAAGCAGTAATTGTATGAGAAAACAAAACTCCAAAAGATTAAAAAAAATAGAAAAAAATGTACTATCAAAAACAATTGACCTGGAAAACAAGTCAAAAAGCCCTGTTTAATGATCTAAAATTCACTGGGATATCTGAAAATTGTGACCATAAAACAAAACAAACCTGAGATTCCATATTTCAAGAAATTATAATCGTTGTCATCATCATCATCATCACTACTATTTATATATTATACATAAATGTTATATATTATTTATGGACTAAATGTTATATATTATTTAATGGACTAAATATATTTATATAAAATATATTTTATATATTTATTACATTTTACATAGTACTTTAAAAGTTACAGAATACTTTCCCGCTGGTTCTCCTCACAATAAATTTGTAAGGCAGAGAGATGTTATTACTATCCCCATTTTACAGATGAAGAAACTAAGACTTCTTAGAAGTTCATTGATTTCTTTTTTTATTTTATTTTTTTCTCCAAATGACCCTTGAATAAAATGAACTCAAGACCCTTCATTATTTTGGATGACCTACTCTTGATGCTCTTTGGCTCATTGACATCCATCTTAAAATATGATTCCCAGAACAGGACCAACTCTAGTGGGTATTACCACCTCCTTATTCCTGTATCCCTAGTTTGCTTCTCATTACAATCCAAATGGGTCAAATGACTTGACCTTATCAAGGGCATCCAGGTACTCCTTATTTATCATGAGTATCAAAGTAGCTTCCTAATTTCTATGTTTGAACTTCAAAGTTTCTGTGTAGCTTTAGTCTTTTCATCAGCAATGCCTGGAAGTCTTCTATTTCATGAAAGGTTCATGTTTTCCCCTCTGGCATTATACTCAGTTTTGCTGGCTAAGTTATTCTTGGCTGTAAGCCTACATATCCTTTGCCTTCTGGAATACTGTATTCCAAGTTCTTCACTTCTTTATAGTAGTGGCTGCTATATCATGAGTTGTCCTACTGTGGGTCCACAGGAATTCATTTTTCCTGGATGCTTGCTGTAATTATTCTTTAACCTAGAAACTAGATTTTGGCTATGGTGTTCTTGGGAGTTTTCATTTGGGGTTTTTTTCCAGATGACAAGTAGATTATTTCTACTTCTACTTTGCCCCATTGTTCTAAGAAATATCTGCAGTTTTCTTTTAAGATTTCTTGAAATATGGTGTTTAGGCTCTATTTTTGGTCATGGTTTTCTGGTAGTACAATTCTTAATTTTTTTCTTTGTTTTCTACATTGGTAGTTTTTGCTATGAGATACCTTATATTTCATTTTATTTTTTCAATCTCTTAACTTTGTTTTCGTAGAGTCTTTGGCTTCTATTTTATCTGTTCTAATTTTCAGGGAATTTGTTGCTTGGATAAGATTTTGGATATCTTTTGCCAAGCTATTCATTCTTTTTCCAATTCTTTTTCCATAGCTCTCATTTCTTTTCCATTTTTTTTTGTCTCAAGCATTTATAAAATATTTTAACTCTTTTTTTAAACTTTTGGTTCATCTCTTCCAGGAATTCTAGTTGAGTTTGTGCTCAAGGTGTGTTTTTCTCTGAGGCTTTGCTTGCAGATGTTTTGGAATTATTTTCTTCTGGTTTATGTTTATGACAACATAATAACTATTTATGGTGGAATTATTTTTTAATTTTTTTCATTCTGCCAAGTCAACTTTCTGACTTTGGGCTTGATGTTAGGGCTGGGACTCTACTGCACTTCTGGAGGGAAGATCCGCTGCTTTCTTTGTGTATGGAGTGTTGTATTATTCCAGAATTTGTGACATTTTGGAGACCCACAAACTTTCATTGCATCCAATGTGGTCTAATCAAGGGCAAAGTCTGATTGCTGCTTCTCTGCTCTGAGCTGTGCAAGACTGCTGTTGGACTCAGCTTCTGCCAGCCTGCTAGAAAGCTCTGTTGGTTCAGAGTGACAGAACTATATATTTCCCTTTGGCCTGGGATTCCTGCCTTGGTTATTCTTTTGCAGGGTAGGCTAGGTGCCAGGATGGAGATCTCGTTCTGTTTCTGGGATCTGAGGCACACAGCTGCTGCTTGCTTCTGAACTCTCCAGGGTCTCCCTACATGGGAATGCCAACCCCATTCTGGTCCCCTTCTCAATCCACTTTGAAGCTCTGAGAAGGGGGTAGTAGGCACCAAAGATACCGGTTTGGTGTTTGTCCCTCTCATGGCATCCCCTTATGGATCTTGCTCTGGTGTACAGCCTCTCCTGGCCCTGGAGTGCTTCCCAACTCTTCTCCTCTCCCCCAGTCCCCAGTGTCTGCAGACCTCTCTGTCTGCTTATACTGGACAGACTTTTTCTGGATTTCCCCAACAGGATTCTCTTAATTCCTGTGTTTGAACTTCTAGGTTTCTATGTAGCATTAGTCTTTTCATCAGGAATGCTTGGACATCTTCTATTTCATTAAAGGTTCATGTTTTCCCCTCTGGCATTATACTCAGGTGTATTTCCAGATCTGTTTGGAGGTATCTTATGGAGGGGAGCTCAGTTGTATTGCTTCCTCCTACTTCACCATCTTGGTTCTGCTTCCTATCCCATATTCTCTGGCTTGTTGTCCTGACAACAGTGGAACCTGGAAACTTCGGTATCTGTTAATCCAAAGGTAGCCTCTAACTTCCCTTACAAGCACTCAGGTTAACAAAGCTTCCAAATACAGAATAATTCTAGTTAAGCAGTGACGTATACAGAAAAGACTTTTACCCAAGCCCGTAGACAGAGTCAATTGGATCCATTCTCCTATGGGCCACTATGTTTCCAGAAATCTATGTGGTTTCCATGATTTACAGTTCTGTCCTTGGTAGGGACCCCAGATCCAAAACACTGGGTTTTGCTGCTATGTAGCCACAGTCCTTTTCCGTAATCCTTTCATCTGCTCCCTTCCAAGTTCCCATGTGGGTCTTTTGCCAGTAGCTCTCCTCCAATCACTGCTTCCCCGTAGTTCCTGGTAGGTCCCATGGGTCTTACTGTTATTGCTGTCACTCAATTCCATGGCTATCTTCAGTTCAACTCTCCTCTAGCAGGTAGTATTGATTCTTTTCTTTTCTCTTTAAGCAATTTGCTCTATGGAATGAATCTCAAAGTACAAAATCTCCTTCATGCTTCCATGTGAGATTGCCCCTAGCCTTTTGAGATTTTCTAGGGTTTTTTTTCCTTTTCTTTTTTTTAGCCCTCTGGTTCTACAGCCCACTCTTCATACACATGGCTTCTTTAGATAGCTGGGGGAATTCCTTCCCTCCATTCTGGGTATAATGACTCACTCATGGTGAATCTGTCCCACTTGCCTCTTCTACAAGGTGGACCACGTACCTCCTCTTTGGATCAGCATCTTCCAATGAGTCTTGGAATTTAATGGAGGCAGTCTTATTTTCTGTTTTTTCTCCAACACAGAAGACCCCATGGCTTCTTTTTGAGAGCGCTCCAAAAGGGAAGGGAAAATGGGGGACCTGATACCTATAGAGAGACAACCTTGTCCTGAGGATGAAAAGCTGTGTCCTTACCATATCTACATTATATAAGATTAAAAATTAACCAGTAACTGCTGGCAAAACTAAATGAAATTAGAAACATGTTCTTAAAATGAATACTTCAACAATTTAGACTTATATTTTTCTTTAGCTTTTGTTTCTGCTATTTCTTGCACAAATTTCCTCCCCTGATTTTTCATTATGGCATGCAGATGACCCTGGTTCCCAAAGGCTATGCTATCATAGCACAAGCTCTAGCAGGTCCTAATCAAGGTGGAAAAACTTTGAGTATGAGCCTAGAGATGGAGTGACTTGTCTATTGTTTAAAAACTAGCTTACCTAAATTCAAGTTATCCTCCAAGTTATATAGAGGGATAGTGAGCTGCCTTAAGGGAGGCAATACTTATACCAACAAAATCATGTATCCTTGCAGTAAGTGCTTTATTCATTTAGTGGGAGAAGGATTTCTGACTCTTCTTATTTCACTTTGTTTCAGTTCATATAAAGCTTCCTTTGTTTTTCTGCATGCTTCATATTCATTATTTCTTAGAGCACAGCAATATTCCACTACATGTATATACCACAAATTATACTGTCATTTCTCAACTGATGGCAATCTAATTTATTTCTAATTTTTTTTTCCCTACTACCAAAAGAGTTACAACAAACATTTTTGTATATATGGGACCTTTTGTCTTATCTTTAATCTTCTTGGAGAATATGCTTAGCATATTAGCATATGATCTCTTGGTCAAAGGGTACGAACATTTCAGTCACTTTCTTAGAATAATTCCATATTACTTTCCAGCATGGTTGAACTAATTTGCAGTTTCGATAACTGGCATATCAGAGTGCCCGTCTTTCCACTGGCCTTCCTACATTAACTAACTCTATCCTTTACTAGACTCTTTTCTTCACTTTTTTTTTCTTTTTGGTGAGGCAATCAGGGTTAAGTGACTTGCCAAGTGTCTGAGGCCGGATTTGACTCTTTTCTTAAAAACACACATGCCTAGAAACCCAATAAAATTTTTTACTGAGTACTACATTAAAGAACAAAATTAAAGACAAATACTAGGAGGACAGTCTTACTAAAATTGAAGCCATTGGTGATGCTGAATGTATGGGCTACCAGTGAAGTCCTGAGTCCCTCACTTCTATTAAATTTTTCCTGCCAAGGAAACAGGCCTAGCAGGATGAAAGCCAACTCCTACGGCAACTAAAAGACTGGAGGCATTAGCTTTCACTCACAGTACTGCATTGTCCCTCTGTTGAGGAAGAAGCAGCAGGAACTGAAACTTCCAGAGGGTCTTCACAATTTCCTTGTCCCCTAGTACAAACCAGTGTATCTGTCATCTTAACTTTCTCCTTTATAAAGCCACAAAATTTTTTGATCGGCCATCTGGAAGCCAAAATTAACCTGAGAACACTTACGTAAGCCCCCTAGAGAACTTGGAACTTGTACTAACTTACTCTAAATAGTCCTTTGATAGGCTCTGCAGCTGACAGCCTGTTAAGGTTTGCATCTTACTTAACAACCACTCATATCCTATAAGACTACTATCTGTATCTGTATTCTACTTTGTTCATCTCATTAGCATGGGGATATATCTTTTAAATGGCTACGGCCTTTCTCTAAGACTGCCTGCTAATGCAGGAAAGATGTTGCAGTCTGCATTCATGTGGCAGTACCAACACCCATGAAATCCTGCATCTCTGAAACATCACAGTATTTATTTCTCTCAAACACACCTTTAAAAAGCCACTAAGATTTTTTCTTTTCTTCAACAAGGAATCCAATCTTCCTTTGGACAAAAGTGTCCTGAATAGGGTTGGATTACTCCAAAGAATCAGGCCAGGAAGATTTCCATGACGCCAGACCCCTAGGCAGAGTTTCCAGTCACAGTCCTAGCTGCTCCACTCCTCCCATCCCCCCTTCGTACTCTTGATCTTCTTGATTTGGCTTCTTAACTGATTGTACTGGATCTATAATGGTATAGTTAAATACTGTGAACTCTCAATTTCCCATAAGAAACAGGACAAAATTAAAGCCACTGAAATCTAGTCAATAATTTTAACTACCTTTTCTCCTGTCCTCCCCAAGATTTTTGAGAGATGCAACATAATAAATCAGTATTCATTTTAGCTTTCTCTCTGCAGTGTCCCTTCCCTTCCCACTGCCTCCATCCCCTACATAAAGGTAGAGCTCCTACTTTCCCATGAGGTAGGTATGAAGAAACTGTACAAATCCACACTAGAGTACTTCCAGGGGAGAAGCCAAGATGGCAGAGGAATGAAAACACTCAACTGAGCTCTCTCAACATTCCCCTCAAACATAACACCTCTAAACATTAAAATAACACCTCACATTGAATTCTTGTCCATTCCCGACTATCGGACTATAATTTGGGACTAGGAGAATTATCTGTCGAGGCTTTGATAATCCAGTTGCTATCATTCAATCTACCAACAAGCTTTATTAAGCTCCTATAAATTGCTAGGCATTGTGCAAGTTGGAGGAAATAAAAATACACAAATGAAGCAATCCCTACTCTCCAGAAGCTTACATTCTATTTAGAGAGACAGGAAAAAAAAAATATATATATATACATATATGTATATATATGTGTGTGTGTATGTGTGTGTATACACACATATATATGTTATATATATTATATATTTATATATACACACATATACATACATATAAATAAAATGTATATATGTATATATTTGTGTATATCATAGAGATATTAACCTCTTTCTCAACAAAAGGTCTTCTAGCCCAACCCAACTTAGTAGGTTGAAAAGAAAGAACCGTGATATGGGAGTGAAGGCCATCCTGGAACCAGTCGGGGGACACCAGAGGTGGCAACAGAAGCCCTCAAGCCAGAGACTGTACTGGGACCTGGCAAATGGTCAGAAAGTGGTCACAGGGACCCTTGTGCTTACACTGAATGCAGCACCGAATTCTCTTTGGCAACTCCATTGCCTATAACCATTCTGGATCATAGTTCAAGGGAGCAGAGGAGCACTTTCAGTTAAGAGGAAGCAGAAGCCCTGAGGAACAGTTATCGCTTTTGGTTACCAGGGATCAGGGACCAAAGAAACAGATCAATTGCAATCTCAAGAGATCAAGGGCCCTTCATCAGTAAGGACCAAAGTGCAGACCAGGAGAGCAGTGACCACACTTCTGCCCAGATCACACTACCTTGGAAGCACCAAAAACTTCCAAATCCCAAGAACTAGCTCTGAAAACAGCAGTGTAAAAAAAGACTGAAGCTTGAGACAGTTCCCCTCCCTCTCACTTCTCACCTGTTAAAAAAAAAAAACCCACCAAACTATTAATTTATCTCTTAACAAATTCCTGTATTGGCCCTATCAAAAAATATCTGTCTCATTCTGCACCCTAAGTCCATCCCCTCTCTTTGAGGAAGTGGGTAGCCTATTTCATTATGGGTCCTCCAATACTGCGGCTGGTTATTGGGTTAATCAGAGTTGTTGTTTGTCTCTACAAGGTGATAACACCCAAATCTTCATATCCTTCACCGATTTTTTTTAAAGCCCTAGAAGCTATGCTTATAAGCAGTAAATTAGCTAAGCAACAGAATGGGGGAGGAAGCAAAAGGCTTATCATTTAGATAGCTGGTGGTCCCTGAATAAAGGAAGCGTTGATGAAATAAGAGCAGAGTGTAACTTAAAACATTATTTTTAGTAGCATGGGGGTCAAGACACTTTTTAAAATATAAAAACCATTCTCAGCTTATGGGTCAAACAAAAACAGGCAGATGGGCTGGATTAGGCCTGGGGGTTGCAGTTTTCCCAGTTCTGGTCTGGTATATTATTTGCAAAGGACATCTACTACTACAGCTTCTCCTCCTTTTCGATTAAGCATGAAACAAACAAAAAAAGCTTACCTGCATGAATGTGTGACATTCGGTGACAAATGGCCCCTTTGTGACCTGCTTAAATTTTTCACATATATCTGGGAAATTAGTAGCTTCCAGAATAGAGGCTTGGTGTTGCTTAATTAATGTTAAGGCCACACGAAATATAATTTTTGAACCCTCATAGAATAAACAATCCCAAATTCGGAGTACCGTCTGTAGAAAAACAAAAGTGGAAAAACAGACTACTTAATTGTATGCAAAATAAGTTAAGTATATATTCAAGATTTAAAAAATGCTAAGGGAATGTCATAATGAAATGCATTTAAGTCCTTACCTCTACTGGGAGTATATCAATAAATAAACAAATAAACCAACGGGAGACTACTAAGGTCCACATGACGTTGTGTCGGTCCATTAGGTTTGCCACAGATGGAATTTTCATCTTCACGAGCTCACCAAGAACTTCCTGGTCTGTTTTCAGACCCATCATTGCAGGACTATAGTAATCTTTGTTAGAGAGAACAGGGGGATGGAAAAAAATAACATGTCGTTGAATATCATGTATTTTTTAAAAAAGGTGTATCAACTCAATCATAAAAGTCACAGGATTTTAGAGTTGAAAGGCACCTTAGCACAATTCTCTCCCTTCACAGATGAGGAGGATGAAGCCCAGAGAGTTTTAGCTATATTGACTCTTATGAGCTGAGATTAAAACCCAGACTCCAAATCTGGTACTCTTTGGACTCACAAATAGCTACCATTTTCCCTGCTAACCTTAACACATCTCCTTTGTTCATTCAATTTTTAAAAAACAAAACTAGCACCACGGGACACACGTTCAAAATGAAGATGACCAAATTAAGGGAAGAAATACATGGAGGACTCCCCTCAGTCATCCACAAAAACCTAACACTGTTTTGGTCTGGAAGTCAAACAGACTTCAATAATTGCTTCTTGAAATGACCACTGGGGGGAGCACTGGTGCTTTAAAATAAAGTATGCTCTCAGCCATGCACTCACTGCCCTGTTCAGTTTATCTGATACCTACAAACTGCAGTTGCTGTCTTTCTTCATAACAGGAGGGCTGGAAACATGCTTGAATTTGCTGAACAATGGGCAATTCAATTTCAGTTGCAAATTTTTGGGAGTCTGCAAATCTCTTTCACTGGAGCCAATAAGCAATTTACTATGGCACTTTTCAGAGGGAATTTCCAGGGGAGAACCCCCAAAACAGGGCAGCTCAACTTGAAAACTAGGAGGAAGGGATGCTAAAGGAATTACTGCAGTGACTGGTCCAAAGAATTTGTGCTTTGCTTGTGTTCCTGCCTAAGGTCACTGATTGCATGTGTGGCCCCTGAAAGCTGATCTGCCTATTAGAAGAGAAAATAAAGCGTTTGTAGAATACTTCTTGTCTTTTAATTTAATAGAGAAGATTAATTTAATAGACAGGATGAAAGAAATAAGTCAGAAAGTAAATATGAATGAAAAGGATTCTGAAGAGGCGACGGGAATCAAAACTAGTATTGAGTAGAAGAATGAGACAGAAGAAAAGAAGTGCTCCAGTACTGGAGAAACAAATTCATTAGACCCTTCCCAAATAGGATGAATTTAGACCTTCTGAAGAGATAGCACTCTATTTTCCAGAGACAAGAAAGGAAAGACTAGGGGGTAGCGCAGAGGATAGAGCACCAGCCTTGGAGTTAGGAGGATGTGAATTCAAATTTGGCCTCAGATACTTGACACTTAATAGCTGTGTGACCCTGGGCAAGTCACTTAACCCCGACTGCCTCACCCAAAAGCAACAAATAAAAATAAAAATAAAAAAAGAAAGACAAGAAAGTGATGGAGAAAAGGTTAATAATGAAAATTAAACTTAGTTTGTCCTGTGCACGTTCCAGAGAGCTGGTTGTTAAACACTTACCGGTACATAATTTCTAGCATCTAGAAGGTACACAAAATTCCACTGGGGGGGCAGGGAAGAGGGAAGGGCATAAGCATGCATATAGCACCTACTATGTGCCAGGTAAAACAATGCTAAGCACTTTTATCTCATAACTACCTTTTAAGGTAGGTATTGTTATTATCCTCATTTTTACAGCATGAGGAAGCTGAGGCAATCAGTGGTTAAGCAACTTGCCTAAGGTCACACATCTAGTAAGAGTCTGAGGCCAGATTTGATACATTAGAAACTTCTCCTCAGGTTGACACTGATCCATTAAGCAACACATTAAAAAGAAATGAAGGCATTAGAAATGTTTAACCTGGAGAAGGAAAGGCTTAGGTGGAACATGATAGCCGACTTCACGTGTCTAAAGATTTGCTTCCTAAAAGATGACTTAGGCTGGTTTTGTGCAGCTCCAGAGGACGGGACTGAGAACAATGGGTAGAAATTACAGGGCGGCAGGTTTTGACTCAACATAAGGTAAAAAATTTTTAAACTGGAACTGCTTACATTTTATTTTATTTTTGCCTATATTTTAAAGACTTTGAGCTTACCATTATTTGGGTCTCTACAAGTAGAAAATAGATGATTGCTGTCAGAGTATTGCAAAATCAATTTCTTACACTGAGTGGGAGGTTAGATTAATAATAACAGTTCCTATTTAAACCATCCTTTGTAATTAAAAAAAATTCTAACTAGGACACAGAGATAAAAGAGAAACAGCTCCTGTCCTCATGGAATATACATTCTACTGGGGGAGGTGCATATCTATATCTATATCTATATCTATCTACACACATAAATGTATATATGTGTGTATGTGTATATATGTATGTATAATAAAATAGCTACAAGGTGATTTTCAGGGGGAAGGCATAAGCTGCTGAGGGGAATCAAGAAAGGCTTTGAAGAGCCTTGGGATTCTACAAGGTGAGATGAACGCTGCATTTCAAGCACAAGGAAGAGCCAGTTCAAAGGCAGGAAGATAAGTAATGGAGTGGAGTACATGAAGAGTAGTAGAAAGCCAGGGAATGAAGGGGAGGACTGTGCAGTAAAGTCTGGAAGTGCCAACCAGAGAAGTTTCTATTTGATCCTTGAAGTGATTGGGAACCACTGGAGTTCAGGGAATAGGGGAGTGACAGAGTCAGATCTGCTCTTAAGGGGAAATTACTGTGGAAAATGGATCGGAGAGGGGAGAGATTTGAGACAGGGAGGCAAATCAGGCAGCCACTGCAGAAGGCTAAGCAGGAGGTGATCAAAGCTTTAGGTGTTTGTGTGGGTTAGAGATGGGAACAGATGGGAGATAGGTTGTGGAGGTAGAAAGAAAAACAATTCAGCAGTTAACATGTGGGGTAAAGGGAAGTGAAACGTCAAAGATGATGCCAGGGTTCAAAAGCTAGGTAACCGGAAGGATGGTGCTTCCCCTGACAAAAACAGGAAAATTCTGAAAAAGGGTGGGTTTGAAGGGGAAAGACAATGAGCTGTATTCTGAACATTCTGAAAAAGAATTTAAGATGACTGTGGGACAACTGGTTTGAAATGTTCAATCTGAAAGTTTGTTCAGTTTGAAATGGCTATTGTTGATGCGCTATTCAGGCTAAGGAGATAGACTAGGGCTGGAAATATAGATCTGGGAGCCATCTGCATAGAAATGAAAACCCAACCCATGTGATCTGATGAGGTCATTAAGAAAGAGGAGAGAACCTAGGATGGAACCTTGGGGTACACCCACAGTCAGGGTGTATGGGATGGTCATCCACCAGAGGAAACTAAGAAGGTATTGTTAGGTAGGAGGAGACCCAAGAGAGAGATGTATTTAAAAAAAAATCCCAGAGAAGATAGTATCCAGGAGGACACCACCATTTTACATATGAGGAAACTGAGACTTTAAGAAGGAAAGCATTTTGAGTGGGATATAGGCAAGAGTATGTCAGAAGTGGATCTTGAACCCACCAAATTGGCTGATTTTATGTCCAGATTTCTTTCTATTACAACACATTAGATGGCTTCTAAATTATCTAATCTCAACTGAGCCCTCACTGAGGCAAGGCAATCCTTTTATATCTCTCTAATTGATTCACTACTCCACTCACCACAGTGCCTTTTCTAAACCTTGTCAACCCTTCTCAAACTATCTCATGGCTTCCCTCTCAGCTGAGAATCCTGCCTCAAATTTCACTGAAAAAATCGAGGTCATTCTCCAAAAACGCTCTTATCTCATATCACTAAGATTTTTTTTCCTGCTGTTATCTCCTATCTCACATGAAGAAGTGAGCCTGCTGCTTGTAACCTCTATTTGCTCAAGTAATCCCCTTCCATTCCATCTTTTCCAGCAGACTGGCCCTTCTACTATGTCTATTCTCTCACTACTTTTCTTTTAAAAAAAAATGAATACTGATTTATCTTTAACATTCATTGTTTTTTAAAATTTGAGTTCTGAATTCTCTCCCTTCCTCCCCTCCTCCACCCATTGAGAAGGCAAGCATTGTGATATCAATTATACACACTCTTGTCTGGTCGTTTTCAGTTACGTCTGACTCTTCTTCATGATCCCGTTTTGGGGATTTCTTGGCAAAGATCCTGGAGCGGTTTGCCATTTCCCTCTCCAGCTCATTTTAGAGATGAGGAAACTGAGGCAAACCGTGACTTGAGATCACACAGCCTCCGTCTGAGGCCAGATTTGAACTCAGGAAGTTGAGTCTTTCTAACTCCAGGCCCAGTGCTCTTCATGATGACACCAAGCTTCCTTGCTCTTTGATCTCTCCCTAACCCTACTGTCTACAAACATGCCCAAGCCTCCCCCATCTTCCTTGATGTTCCTTGCACATCGAACTTGATCTCTCAACATCAGGCATTCCCCCTGCCTGTATACACTCCCTACTCAACTCTGCCTTCCTCGATTCCCCGGCTCCTTCAAGTCCCAACTAAAGTCCCACCTTCTGCAAGCCCTTCTTGATTTTAGTGCCTTGCTTCCGAGAGTATCTCCCATTTATCTTGTATGTATCTCGCCTGTGCCTGTGCATAGCTGTTTGCATATTGTCTCCCCCAGTAGGCTGTGAGTTCCTTGACGGCAGGAGCTGGCTTTTTTGCCTTTCTTTGTAGCCCCAGGGCTTAGCACAATGCCTGGCACATAGTAGATGTTTAATAAAAGCTTAGTAACTTGACTTGACTTGAAGGAGGAATTGGCCTAAGAGAAGGTAGGAGATAGCCTTGGGCTTCAAACCAATTCTTGAGAGAGAATTAGGAGGTCAAGAGGCTCCTTGGCTGGCATTCCTTAGGGTCAGGAATAGGCTACAGGTTGTGGCGAAGAGAAAGGAGATGGCTCCTGGCTTTTTAGTAAGAGCCTTTCCCCAGACATGCAAACCAGCTAGGGGCTATGAAATAGGAACAGCAAGTGGATCCTTTAATTCTTCAAAATGTCCCAGCGGTACACTGAAAAGTTCTGAGGACACAAAAACAAACCACAGAACCACAAAAACCCACACCCAAACCCAGTTCCTGCCCTCAAGAAGCTCACAGACTGATGGGGGAAACTACATGCAGACGACTATGCAATAACAAGAAA